TATATATATATATATATATATATCCCCATGATATGCCTTTACAATTGTATAATATAAAGTGTTCATTTCCTTTATATATATTGCATGCATCTTACACATCACTATATATAATATATATAATGCATATAATAATATATATAATACTGTATAATATAAATGTAATGTATAATGGTACATATATTTTAGTAATATACATTGTATGCGTATGTATGATGTATATTACGTATTGTGTATATTATGTATAATATACATAATATGCATAATATTATAAATATTATATATTGTATATATTACCCGACATATAATATAAACTGCCCGTCACACAAGCAGGCCCAGCATCTGCTGCATGAATGCGTGCAGCGACTGCATGCATATGCAGCAACAACAGCAGCAGCAGCTGCTGCTGCTGCAACGTTTTGGGGTTGTGCAGGGCCCGAGGAAACCCAAGTGAACTACAGTCAAGAACTAGCAGCAAATTAGTATGCAGCAGGAACAGAAGCAACAGCACCAGTAGTAGCATTGTGTGGGATGCATTGGCATTAGCAGCTTTTGTTGCTAGATTGGAACATCATCTAGTAACGACACCATTTGTTTTTGTATAGCTGAAGCAGCAGCAGCAACCGCAGCACCACGATGACCTGCTGCCGCAACGGAGCCCACACGTATCAGTAAGTTAGTAGTAGGCTTACGAAGAGCAGCAGCAGTGGCACCAGTAGCTGCTTCTGGTGGTATTGCAGTGCTGCAAGTTCAGTGCACACTGCTGATGGTTGAGCAGAGCATGTTTCTCAGTGGCTACTTGTGGTTTGCCCGTGGGCTTCCAATGGCTCATGACATTGAAGCCCTAGAAGAGCTAAATTCTAGAAACAAGAAACCCTGGAAACACTAAGAACTAGAGGCAGGCATGGCGGCTCTTTGCAGGTGTAGCACATGGTTCTATGCTGCAGCAGGACATTCGGGTGAACCCTAGGCTTTCTGGCACTAAACCCTCGACTAAGCCATAATTCCGTTAAATAAACTATCGGGTTCCTCAGTGTCTGCATGTTGACTCTAAAATGCAGAAATGTAATCCCTCGCGTGTTTAAGGGTATCCTAGCCACCAAACAGCAAACCGGCAATAAAACCAAGTATAAATCGAAATAATTATTGGCTTTTTCTTATTGTTTTTAATAACAAGTCAACTTAATTGTTCAACAATTATTGCAGCAGCCGACAAGCAAATGATGCCTCTGTAACGCCCGGCAGTGACCAGGCGAACCATCGGGTAAGGGTTTAGGGTTTACTATTTAGGGTTTAGCGTCTGGGTTCACCCTTTTGTTGAAATAATGAAATAAATATAAAAGGACTTTAGTATGAATATTTATGGTCTCTAAATATCATAAGAGGAGCAGCAAAGCCCTAAGAAAACAGGTAACAACCCTTGCTGAGAGCTGCAGTATGAGTCTATCTACTACTGCTTTTCCTTGCTCCTTCTCTTTATTCATTCTTCAATTAATTCACTAAAATACTAGCTGAAAGGATATTTCATTGCAAGCATTCCCCTAACACTTAAAAACCAGGCTATTCAGCCCTCCGGCGAGTTTAGCTTTTAGGCTTTAGAGTTTACTGTTTAGGGTTTCGGAAATGGAGGAAGGCGACGAGTGCGTAGCAGCAGCAGCAAAACTCTTTGCTGCTTATGGGGGGTCCCCGTGGAAGCAGCAGCTGCAGCGGTGGGCAGAAACCTCCCCAGAAGAAATAGCAGTGAGGATCCTTAACGACCAGGTTAGCCGTAAGGGCTTAGGGCTTGGGGTCTACGACTTAAAATTTAGCATTGATACTTTATGGTTTATTGTTTTTAGTTAAGGGTTTAGGGTTTGATTGGGGTGTAAGCGCAGAATGAGAAGACGGAAATGGACTGGGAGGTAAAAAAGCCGCTTGCCAGCTGTTGCAGCACTGTTGCTGTTTGGTCTGCTGCTGCTGCTGCTGCTGGGTCTGGGATGTATGGTGAGGTGCAGGCTGAGGTTGCGGAGCAGCGGACATTTTCTGCCTTGAGGGATGAAGCAGCAGCAGCAGCAGCAGTGCTGCTGCGAATGCTGCAGCAAAGGCAGCAGCAGCCCGAGGAGACAGCTGTAATTCTGTATGTTTGATATTTCTGCTCCCGGTGCTGCTGCCGATGCTGTTGTAGGTGCTGCTGTTGCTGTCGTTCCATTTTCCTGTGTCTCATCCTCTGCGGCGGTTGCTGCTGCTGCTACTGTTGTTGCTGCTGCTGTTGTTGCTGCTGCAGAAGCATTTCGCATGAATTGACATTTCTATCAATGTTTTTCGGCTGTCTCCTCGCCGGAGTTCCTGCTGTCCCCTTCCCTTCTCCGCGCTGCTCCCCGGCTGTTTTGCTGCAGCAGCACCAGCTGCAGCAGCAGCTACAACAGCTGTTGCAGCAAGCTCCTTCACCATGGATTGTCCTTAGCGACGACCCAAACATGTACGCTAAGCCCTAAGCCCTAAGCCATACACCCTAAAATCTAAATGTTTAACAAAATGGCCAGCTACGGTACCTTTGGTGGCATTTACTGCTGCAGTAGCTGCTGTTGCTGCTGCAGTAGCTGCTGCTTCTGTCGTTGCTCCTGCTGCTCCATTACAGGCAGTCTGCTGCTCGCTCCGCAAGAGATGGGATAGAAGCACTTGACATATCTGAAGCTTTTCAGCAGCAGCTACAACAGCAGCAGCAGCAGCGGCAGCAGCGGCAGCAGCAGCAGCAGGAGCAACAGCACCAGAGCACCAGCAGCAGCAGCATTGCTTTGTTTCAGCTGTCATCGGGGTCTACAGGCCTCCCTAAGACCTGCGCAATATCTCACGGGGCCCTTCTGTGGTCGTTACACCTCAACGTGCGACTGGGGCATTGGCCTTTAAGCAGCAGCAGCAGCAGCAGCAGCTGTGTTGCGGATGCCAGCTGCAAGTGCTGCTGCATCTCCTGTAGTGTCCCATCTCCGCTTTATGTACACCTCATGCAAGAACATCATCATCAGCAGCAGCAAAGGAAGCAAAAAAGAACACAAACACTCAGCTGGCTACCACTCTACCACGATATGGGGTCAGACCTGCTGCTGCGGCTGCTGCTGCTACTTCATGTGTATACCTTCCTGCTGCAGCCTCTACTGCGATATGTTTGGCCATTGCTCTTGCCTACTAATATGCTTTCTCTCTCTTTTCCTCCCTTGCTTTCTCTCACCTCTCTGTAAATAAATAGATTTTAGTATTTCTGTAAAAATATAAGTAAATTTATACTAATTAATTAAACTTTTATAATTTTAATAGAATACACGAATAAAATATATTTTTATTTAAGTAATATATTTAATTAAGTTAAATAATAATATAAGATGCCATATTGATTAATTATTTATTAATCAATGTACCATCATATTTTATTTAGTAAAATATATTATTTAGAGAACGGCATTACATATCTTTCTGTGTTTTCCCCTCAGTCTTATTGGGTTTGCCTTAACTTCTCTTTTCTTTGGTCTTTCTTTCTCTTTTCTTCCTACTTCTTCTTTCCTAAGAAATCCCCTTTCTTGGTATACTTCTCTTTCTCTGCTTTCTCCGCATATTACGGGGTCCCCCCCATTTGCTCTTCGTCTTATTAATAACCTAAAAGGTAAAGCAATACCCCAACAAACGGTTCCCCCCCACCTGGTGGACTCTCCAAGGGCCCCTACAGGGGACCCTCTAGAAAACGGTTCCCCAGGAGGTCTGCACAACGGGGCCCCCCATGAGGGCGCACAGGGGGTCCCGTCGACGGGGGAAGACCAAGCGGGGGCTTGTTGTACAGGAAAAGGGTACAGAAAAGAAGAATTCTTGCGATGCCCCAAGGGAGGTCTTTGTGAAGAAGAAGGAAAAGACTGGGGGGAGTTAGGGGGGCCCCAAGAGGGGCCCCTTAACCTTCACGCGCTTCATACGTTTATCTGCGGGGCGGAAAAGATACACCCTCAAACATTTTCTCTTGCGCATCAGGTATACCATAAACAATAAACCCGAAACCCTATAAACTTCATCTCCTCCCTCCGGTTCTGCTGCTACTTTTTTCTTTGCTGCTGCACCTGTTGTTGGCACAGCAGCAACAACACACAGGAGCATATTCCCTTAACACTTGCACTTGCCCATTGTCCTTAGGTGTCTTGTGCTGGTACTTTTACTGCTGCTTGTGGGACTGCTTGTGCTGCTGCTTGTGCTGATGTTGCTTGTGCTTGTGGTACTTGGGCTGCTTGTGCCGCTGCAGGCCTTCAGTGGCTCTGGCCTGAGGCCTGAAGCTCTCGTTGCTGCCTATGGCTTAGCAGAACATTGCCTCGCCGTTACTGACCGCCGCCGCCTCAACAGCAGCAGCAGCCGCAGGAGCACCCTTGAATCGGGTTGCTGCTGCCGTCCTGCGGAGCCTCTGCTCCTTACGTTTGACGCAGCAGAGCTTGAGAAGGTGAGGAGACCAAAGAAATTACATGGGTTCAACCTGTGGAGCCTCCATGTGGCCCTCCTTGAGACCCCTTTTTTAACCCTGATTCTGTCGTTCGAGCGTCCCCTCTATCTACACTGTACAAGCAGCCTATTGGGGTTTTCGTGTAGGAAGATGTTTATAGGTATCTCCTAGGCAGCTGTATTCATTTGTATAGGCAACTACTTGCAAAACATGGGATGTATAGGCAGCTTTTTTCTTTCTTTAGGGTTGCGCTGTATGCATTGGAAAGGGAGAAAAACAAACGAAAAGTGTGGAAATCGTCAGCTGCGGCCCTCCCAACTATGGAGTCTACAGTAAGCAGCAGCAGCAGCACAGCAGCAGTAAGAGCAGCAGCAGCAGCAGCAATAGAGGCAGCTACCGCTGCTGCTGCAGAACCAGAAAAAAATAGAGGCGCATGACAAGATCCCCTCCCTGATTTTCTACCAACGTCGTTCCTTCTGCATCTAATATTGCCTCTGCCTTCCCCTGCTGCTGCTGCTGTTGCTGCTGCTACTGCTGCTGCTGCTACTGCTGCAGTTGCTGTCGTAGATCCTAAAGATGGGCATCCGTTGGCTGAAGGCAAAGTAGGGGAGGTATGCATTTCTTCTCCTGCGCTGATGAGTTACTACTTAAGCGAAATAGACACACAAAACAGCTTCTTATGCCTGCCAGTCGCGGCCGCAACAGGAACAGCAGCAACAGCAGCAGCCACAGCAGAAACAGGGAAGAGACGCTTCCTTAGAACGGGAGACTTGGGGTTTATGTGGCGAGGAGAGCTGTTGGTGCAAGGCAGACTTAAGGAGACACTTAAAGTTAGAGGAAGATCCCTCTGCCCCCAAGTTGTGGAATCCGTTGCTGCTGCTGCAGCAGTAGCAGCAGCAGATGCTGCTGCAGCAGTAGCAGCAGCAGATACTGCTTCAGCAGTAGCAACCACAACAGGAATGCCGTGGATAAGGACGCATGCATGCGCTGCCTTTCCCTTAGAAACCGACGAAGGAGAAGCAGTGGGGCTGGCGATCGAGGTTATGCCTGAAGGTGAATTATTCTTTTGTCTCGTTTTCTTTGTCTCCTGCTGCTATCCTTTGGCCTTTCATTCCTCTTCTTTTATTTTTTTGCCTTTCTCTCATTTACATTTGTTTTCTTCTCTCTTTTCTCTCATGCTCTTGTGTCTGTTCTGTATTTTGTTTTATCGCCTCCCCGGTCTCTTCTCGTTTTCTGTTTCTCTGCTTTGTGTGCAGTTTCATTTCTTGTGTCTCCTCCTTCTGTCTCCTCCTTCTGTATCTTTCTTCCGCCTCTTTCTCCTTTATCTTTCTTCTGTCTATTCCTTTGTTTGTTTATTCCTGTTTCACAACGTTTATTCTTGCCTCTGTGCGTCTCTGCTGCTGCGTTCTTCCTTCATCTCTCTATTTGCTATATCGCCCTATTCAGAGCTGTAGCAGCAACGGCAGCAGCACAGGAGTAGCAGTAGTACAACCGCAGTAAAAGCACAACACTAACAGCAGAAAGTATATTTATTGTTGCTGCTATACTTCTGCTACGGTTACTGTACTACTACTACTGTTTTTATATGTCTCCTGCTGCTGCTGTACTGCCCCTGCTGCTGCTGTTCCCCTCCTCCTGCGGTTGTACGACCACTGATCTGCTCCTCCTGCGGTTGTACGGCCACTGCTCTGCTGCAGCTGCTTCTTGGGGAGATAGCATCTGCCGCCACGCTGCTGCTGCAGTGCTGCGAGAATGCGGCGTTGCACTGCACCAGCTGTGGCTGCTGCGACCCCACACCCTCAAGAAAACCACAAGCGGGAAGGTGCAGCGAGCAGCAACCAGGGACTTTCTACTGCATGTGCAGCAACAGCAGAAACAGAAGCAGCAGCAGGAGGGCAGTAGAGAGAACAATGCTTGCATCTTATTTCGCCTGGACGCAACTGTACTTGCTGCTGCTTCGCTTGCTACTTCCGGTGATGCTGCATCAGCAAGCGAAGCTGCAGCAGCAACAGCAGCAACAGAAACCCCGAGTGTGCGTGCGTGGCTGCTGCAAGAGCTGCAGCAGCTAGTGTTCAAGAGTATTGGTACCTTTCCCCACCCAGACGCCTCGTTACATGCATTGGGTGTTGACTCGCTTGCTGTTGCTTCTCTGTATGCAGCAGCAAAAGAGCAGCTGCAGGTGCCGCTGCAGGTACACGATCTGTTGCAGGCAGAGACGCTCAGCTCTCTAGCCGATATGCTGCTGCAGCAGCACGAGCACTTACTTACTGCTGCTGCTGCTGCAGCTGCAGCTGCCGGTGGCGATCGTCGGCAACCAACTGAGCAGCCAGGGACTGACAGCGGCAGCAGCCGCAGCCGCGGCACGTTCATGGCCTTCGCCGTTCCAGCAATGAGATATCGGCATGCCGCACGCACGAATAGGTCACGCCAAAGAGCTGGTGCACGCTTTCTGCCGTGGACGCCCAACCAGCAGCAGCAGCAGCAGCCCGTCTTGGGCATTACAGGCGCTGCCTGCCGTCTGCCTGGGGGCTGCAGCAATCTGCAGCAACTGTGGCAGCATCTCCTTGCAGGATATTCCTTTGTTGGCAACTATCCTTCCAACAGGCACTCACACCCTAAACCCCAAACCCTAAACCTTAAACCCAATCAATATTGTCATCTGTAATCCCTTAAGCCTTCCCCATACACCTAGCCTCTGCATTGCTTGTTCGTGCTGCTGTCTTGCTGCTCCTGCTGCTCTGCTGCTGCTGGTGCTCACCCAGGTGTCTCCCTGGCTTCGCTAAGCTGCTGGGCCCTCCTCCAGAGAGCACGCACCGTCGCCCTTTCCAGCAGCATCAACAACACAACAAACAGCAGCAGCAGCATCTAAAGCAGACGCAGCAGCAAGGGGAACCATTTTGGGGCCCTGCTTGGCTTCAGGGAGCCTACTTAGAAGACATCGCTTCTTTCGACAACGCCTTCTTCGGAATATGCGCTGCAGAGGTTCCGTCCTAATCCATAAACCCTGAACCCTAAAACCTAAAACCTAAAGCCCAAATCCTAGAAGATACACCCTAAACCCTTTAAACTTAACCGTAATCTTTAGACCGCAGAAACTAAGCCCTTGAATTGTAACCTCAAAACTCTAGACCGAAACCCTTTAACTATAAACCATAAACCACAAACCCTAAGGAGCGGATGGATGTTTTTATATGTGTATTGTTCTCTCTAGGAGAAAGAATGCAGCTGCCATGCTGCGCCTCTGTCTAACATCTGGTGCACCAGCAAGACAGGGCATGCGTCTTCTGTTTGTGCCTCTCCGGCTGTTGTTGTTGCTGCTGCTGTTGCTGCTGCAGGCAGCGTGTATGGACCCGCAGCAGCGGCTGCTGCTGGAGACAACTTACGAGGCAATTGAGATGGCCGGCCTTTGTCCAAAGAGGCACCTGCCGGGGCAACAGCAGCGGAAACAACAGCAGAAACAGTGGCACGGGGTGCAGCAGCTGCAAAGCGGAGTTGATGAAGTAGGGGAAGACACTGCGGTGTTCATCGGATGCAGTTCAGTGGACTGGTAGGCTAGCAGAAACAGCAGTGCTTGAACAGCATCAGATACTAACAGCAGCAGCAGCAATAATACTTCTTCGCATCAACAGCTGTGCACGGAGTTCGCAGGCGTAGGGTCTAGGGTTTAGAGTTTAGCGGTTTCGAAGCGAGGGCTAAATTCTGACGACTAACCCTAAACACATATGGTTTAGAGCTAATGGTTTAATGTGTAGGGTTTAGGGATTAGGGTTTGGGAGGTAGTGCTTAGGGTTTGTATGCAGGCGCAGTTTGTTAGACGTTGATTCTGGTGGTTCATTTTCTTTGCCGAGTTCTTCCTCGAGCATTCTTAGCTGTCGTTTGTCTCGCGAGTTTTCGTTTACCGGGCCTTCCTTAGTTGTTGATGCTGCTTGCGCCTCGGGGCTTGCTGCGCTGCACCTTGCACGCGAGCACCTTCTCAGCAGCACTACCCCCAGCACCAGCAGCAGTAGCAGCAGAAGCAGCAGGTGGGCAGTTGTGGGGGCGACCAACCTTATATTGGATGCTGCAGCAGCAAAGGCTTTTGCTGCTGCTGGGCTCTTGTCTCCTACAGGCCGCTGTCGCTCATTCGATGCTCAGGCAGACGGCTGTGTTAGAGGGGAGGCAGTTGTTGTGTTGCTGCTAGAGCGATTTCTTCCGAACAGCAGCAGCAGCAACAGGGATGATCGTGTGCTATGCTATTTGAGGGGGAGTTCCCTGCAGCAGTCAGCTCGAACTCGTAGTATAACCGCCCCCAGCTGCCTGTCGCAACAGCAGCTGCTGCAGCAGACGCTGAGTGCTTCTTCTGTTGCTGCAGAAGATATATGCATGCTTGAGGCGCATGCAACTGGTACACTCTTGGGGGACGCTGTAGAAGCAGCAGCAATTGCTGCTGTGTTTGCTGCTGAGAAGCCCCTGCAACAATGCCCTAACTGCCTGCCCCTCCAGCGGCAGCGACAGGAGCAGCAGCTGCTGCAGCAGCACAGCGTCATGTGGAAAACTGCACAGCTTGTAGCAGCATCAACTGCAGCACGTCGAGAATCAGCAGGCAACTGCAAGCCGTCCAACGAGGACTGGGAGGATGTGGTTGTCACAACACAGCAAACCAGCAGCAACAGCAGCTCAAGCAGCAGCTGCTGCAGGTGTTGCTGCCGTCGTCTGGTGTTGGGGTGTATGAAGCCTGCGTGGGGCCACAGCGAAGCAGCAAGTGGGCTGTTGAGTCTGCTGCGTTTGCTGCTGTCGCTGCAGCACTACCAGGCTACTCCCAACTTGCTGCTTCAGCGGCTGCAGCCGGAGTTGCAACGCATGTGGGACCGCAGCAGAATCCTGCTTCCTTCTAAATGCTTTCCCTTAAACCCCAAAGAGTGGTTTGTAAGAGCTGAAAAGAAAAATAAACCCCGAGGCCTGCTTGCTGTTGCCGCTGCTCTCGGCTTTGGGGGAAGCATGGCGTATGCAGTCATCGAACGAAATAGCTGCCGCAGCAGCCGCAATTTGGTGCAGCAGCAGCAAAACACACATATCGTTTGGAGACACACAAAATTCCCCCTTTCACCTGGCCTCCGACAGCAACAGCAGCAGCCGCTGCAGCAGCAGCATGCGTTACAGCAGCTCCTCCAGCCTTCACTCACTCAACATTTCTGGGCGCTCCCAGAAGAATCCCCACCGACACCCGCACCCGCAGCAGCTGCAACAGCAGCGACCGCAACAACGGCAGCAGTGGGGAGTCAACCGCCTCTGCTGCTTATCTGCAGAGAAGAAGACGAGAAGAAATGGTTACAGTCGTGTGCTGCAGCAACTGTATGTGTCGCTGGTGTGGGGCCCCACATCACAGAGGAAGACTTAATCCTTATTCTAAAGCAGCAGGGGCAACAGCAACAGCAGCAACAACAACAACAAACGCAACCGAGGAAACAGATGGGATGGGGATGCGTCGTGCTGGGAGCCTTTGCTTCTCCACCGACAGAAGCGTCGCAACAGCAGCAGCAAACGGATTCACTTCAGAGTGTCCTCCATGGCTATTGGTTGCTGCTGATGTTGCTACACGCCTTAGAGACTATGGGGGACCAGCACCACCAGCTTCCCCCTCTTTTGATGCTGCTTCAACTTCCGAAAAAAAGCAGCAGCGACAGCTGCACTGGCAGCACCTCCTCCTGCAGCAGCAGTTGCTGCAGGAGCACAAGCACAACGTGCTGCTGTGAGGCAGCCCATTTGGCCTCAGGGGGTCTGCTGCAGCTGCTGGTGGAGACAGCAGCGCACTTCAGCCACACCAGCAGGCGATGCATTACCATATCTGTAGCCATCTATGAGCAGCCGCAGCAGCAGCCAGCTGAACACCTACTAGGCGAACTGTATTCTGCTGCAGCAGCATCTGGATGGCCCCGTTGTTTCCGAGTTGCTGCGAAGGCGGAAGCCCCACAACCAGCATCAGCAACAACTGTAACAAAAGCAGGAGGGCCAGAGGCAGCAGCAGCAGCAGTAACAGCAGCAGCAGCAGTAACAGCAACAGCAGCACCAACAGCAGCACCTGCACCAGCTGCAAAAATCCAGGTTGAGGTTCAGCGGCAGCAGCGTCTACCTTCTTTGCCCCCGCGAGCCCCGGCGCTGCACCACAGGCGGGAGGGTTTCACGCATTTGTTTGCCTTGGAAGATGGTTCTCAGCAGCTGCTGCAGCAGGTGCAGCATGCGCAGCAGCAGCAACATCTGCTGCAGCAGCTAGAAGCAGAAAAGAAGCTGCAGCAAGTATACAGAGAAAGTGGATTTAAGATGCTGCAGCAAATAAGAAAGCTTCCTTTTTCTTTTTCTCATTCTTTTATCTGCGTTCGTGTTGTCGCTGCTGCGCTCCAGCCACAAGATACATTTGAACTGATGCAACAACCACAGGGAGAGACGCGTGAGCTGCTGCTGCTGATGCTGTTGTTGTCGTTGCTGTTGGTGTCGCCTCCACAGCAACTGTTTCTGCTCCTGCTGGTGCTGTTGGTTGCAAACCTGCTGCTCCTCATGTTTCTGCTCTTGCATCGGCCACTGTTACCACGCATGCTGCTGCAACTGCTGCTTCTCCTTCACTGCACCTTCTCATGCGACTCATGCTGCCGAGGGTGTTATTGTGGATGGCGCTACCCTCAAGCCGCATGCTGCTCCTGTTGCTTCTGTTGCTGCTGCTACTGTTTCTGCTCCTGCTACTTTGGAGCTGCGCGCGCTTCTGGTGTCCACGTTCATAGGGCTGCTGTTGCTGGTGCTGCTGCTGGTGCTGCTGCTGCGGGTGCTGCTTCTGGTGCAACTTTGGGGCACAGCACGTTGTGCCTTATGCTGCTGCAGGCTCCCTAGGGTTGCGGTTGGCTGGTGTTGTCTGCTGCCCCCCCTCCTTCTTACAATCAGCTCTGCAGCAGGTGCAGCAGCAGCCGCAGCAGGAGGAGGAGGGGTCGGAGGACAAGCAGCAGCAGCAGCAGCAGCAGGCGTTTCCAGTGGGTGCAGCAGTTTGCGGGTTAGCGGTGGGGTGTATAGGCAGCTACGTCTTAACCTCCCCATCTTTGCTGGCTACCATACACCCGCAGTTTTCCTTTGAGGGCGCATGCACGTTGCAGCTAGATATGGTGCTGCTGCAGCAGGTGCTGCAACAGCTTGATGTAGAAGGAATCAAGGTGTCTCCGCAGCTCAGGGTGTACATCCATGGAGCAGCAGCAGGCGCAGGACTGCTCCTGGCACAGTACTGCGTGGCTAGGGGTGCTACTGTTGCTGCTGCCTGCCGTTCGCTGCAGCAGCAGCAGCTCCTACAGCAAGTTGGGGTACACGAACCGCACGTATTGCCTCATCCCACCCAGCAGCAGGAGCAGCAAAACAACAACCAGCACCATCACCACCGCCACCACCACCGCCACCACTACTACCACCAACAACTCTACCATGAGCCACAGCAGCAACTGCCGCCGCCGCAGCAGCAACACCAGCAGGTGCTTCTACAGCAAGACGTAGATATTTTGGTGTACACGCAGCCAGTGGGCCCAGATGAACTCCCGCTTCAACAGCTTTCTCTCGGGGGGCACCTAATACAGCTTGGCTTTGAGGAGGTGCTGCTGCAGCAGCAGCTGCAGCAGCAGCGCCCCGATGCTCACTGCGCCTCCATATCCCTTTTGTCTCTCTGTAAGGAACAGGAAAAGCACGACAGACAAATGGAAGCAGGTGCAGCAGCAGACGACCCAGCAGCAGCAGCAGGCCGTAGCCTTTCAGACTGGTGTCGGAGGGCTGGGGAGCTGCTGCAGGAGGACTGGGCCCCACAAGCACCTGCTGCGCTGCTGCGGGTGTCGCAGCAGGATGCAGCAACCGCAGCCGCAGTAGCGGCAGAGGCATATGAGCTTCTAGCAGACCAAGGACGCGTTGGGGATATTGTACTATCTCTGGACAACTTGCCCCGCAGTCTTGCTGCTGGTGTTGCTGCACCGTCTGCCGGTGTACCCGCTGCAGCTGCAGCTGTATCTGCTGCACCCCAGGTGGCTCTGCAGCAGCTGGAGCGGGGGCAGCACGGGCACGCACATCAGAGCCATCTGCACCAGAAAGTGCAACAGGATGAGCAGCACCAGACTCAGCTGATGCAACCGCAGGAACATCCGGAGGAGCGGCAGAAAAGAGAGCAGCAACTGCAGCAGCAGCAGCCGGGGGAGCTGCCCAACTGGGCACTGTCTTCTGCTGCTGCCCTGCGGAGTTGGGAAGCTGAGGGTGCATGCACCGTACTGGTTGTAGACCCAGCAGCAGTGAGCAGCAGCAACAGCAGCAGCATTGCTGTGTCTGCCTGCCGCTGGCTGTTGGGGGAAGGTGTTTCTCATGTGGTGCTGCTGACTCCTTTGTTGCAGCTTCCGGCAGAGCTGATGACAACGGAAGGGGCTGCGTTGCTGCTGCAGCACGACGAGCAGCAGCAGCAACACCACCCCCAGTCGCAGTGGAAGCGACGGGGTATCCTTCCCATTCACTGCAGCTGCGCCTCGGGTGCAGCCATTGCTGCAGCATTGGACGAGGCGCTGCTGCAGCCACTGCTGCCTCCTGTGCATGCTGCAGTTTTCCTTGTTGACGAGGAAGACTGCGAGCAGCCCAGCAACAGCAGCAGGTCGTATTATCTCGAGCGGGCAAGGCATGCAAAAAATCTGTTCCAGCAGCTGCAGATACACCCCTTTGGCAGCAGCCTCCGTTGTTGGCTGTCTCTAAGCTACAGGCGAGGCCCCTCAGCAGCACCTCCAGCAGCAGCAGCAGCAGCTGCTGCTGCTGGAGGTGCTGCTGTTTGGGGTACGCAACTAAGACACGCCGGCTCTGCTGCAGAGGAAAGCGCAGAGAAGACACTTGATGAGCTGCGCACATCGGCAGGAGCAGCAACAGCAACTCCCGGCGAGGCAGCAGCGACAGCAACAGGTTTAGACAAAACAACGCCTCTCCTACCAAACCCCAAGAGCACAGCAGCAGCAGCAGGAGCAAGTGCAACAACAACAGCCGCAGAAGTTGGGGAAGCCAATCACATTTGCTGCCGGCAGTTGCTTGAACAGCTGCCGCTGCCTGTATGCCGTGCTGCTCTGCATTCTGCTCTTGGTGCAGTTGCTGCTGCTGCTGCTGCGAAGGGCCTCATAGCTCGTGAGGTGTATGTGCACCCAGCAGGGGAGCCTTGCTGCAGCAGCAACGAGACACTGCTAACCTCAAATCCTTTACACGTAGACAACTACTGCTGCGGTCTCGAGACGTTGACACCCCTCGACTGCGTTAACAGTAGCAGAAACAGCAAAATCAACAGCAGCAGCAACAGCAGCAGTGTGACGATGGAAAGCCTGGTGATTTCTGTCTTGTCGAATGCGTTGTTGCGGCCTCCGCTGCTGCAGCCGCAGCAGCAACTGTTGCATGAGTCGCAACAGCAAGAGCGCGTGCATGTGCAGCACCGGCTGCCACCTGCAGCAGCAGAAGATCTGTCGCTGCTGCTGCCTTTCGAGAAGCAGAGGAGGCAGAGGCGGTTAGGTACTGAGGAAGACATTGAATCAATTAGATGTCGGGTGTATGTACTCTGTCAGCAGCACCTGCCTCCCGGTGTGCAGCTGCTGCAGCATCAGCCGCTGCAGTACCTTGGCCTCGACAGCATCAGCAGCAGAAGACTCTACTTCGCCATGTGCTGCTGCTTTGCGTTGCAGCAGCAGCAGCAACAGCTGCTGCTAGAAGAATTCATTGGAGGTGAAGCCTCGGCGCAGTCGTTAACAATCAAGATTGCTGGGCTGCTCACTGCTGCTAAGGAAGCATCAGCATCAGCAGCAGTGAGCAACAAAGCAAGCAGCAGGTGCAGCAGCAGATGCAGCAGCAGAGCCAGCAGCAGATACAGCAGCAGGATGAGCGTCGCGTCAGAACACTTCAGCAGGAGCAACAGCAACAGCATCCCTGCTACTGCCTCACTGCAGCAGCAGCAGTGGATCTAGCTGCAACACGCGTGCTGCAAACGCAAGCTGCATTTGCCGGTGTTGCTGCTGCTGCAGCATCCGCCGCTGGAACCCTCATGCTCTGTGGGACAGTCAGCGACATGGCAACAGCAGCTGCAACAACAGACTTTACTCCTGAAGTGCAGTGTTACGCACAACAATCTTCAAAAAAAAATTTCTTTTATAGTAGTAGCAGCAGCACGCGCTGCTGCTGAAGCAACAGAAGCAGCACCACTACAGTTAACTGTTCCTGCAATGCAGTGCCTCACAGGAGGCACGAGGTGATGCAGCAAAACGTATACTGCAGCACAAAGCCTCTTTTACCTTCTCCTGCTGGTGCTGCTGCTGCGCCTCGTGTTGATGCAGCAGCAGCTGGTACTCTTGGTGCTGTTGTTACTTCCGTGGTACCTATATTGTCGCTGCTGTTGGTTTGTCATACCAGCAACAACAGCGTAGCTGTTGTTGCTGTTTTTATTACTGTAGTCGTCACTGCTGCGGCTGCTGCTGCTAATTCCGAGCCCCCGGGCGTTTCTTTCTGCTCCAGTACTTCCACCAGAGGGGCCCATCGTAGACTTTGACAGGTTTTCCCTCTTTGCTGCGTTTAGCAGCAAGTTTTGCTCTAAAAGCAGCAGTAACACTTGCTGCTGCAACCGCATCCTCTTCCTGTTGCAGTGCAGCAGCCACCGCCGCACGAGTGCTGCTGAAGCCAGCAGCAAACGCCTCCCATGCGGCGTTCTCCGATGTTTGGCAGTCGCCTGCAGGCTGCTGTTTGGGGATTTCCTGGGTACCGTCAGCAGCAGTAGCAGCAGGAGACGCAGCAGTGGCAGCAGCAGGACCAGCGGCAGAACTAGGTCCAGCAGAGGTGCGATGAGGCTTTACTGCTGCTGCGCAGAAGCAGCGCGAAAACCGCGTACACTCCAACCATTCAGGGAGGAATGGGAGGGGGCGGAGACCAAACATCAGCAAAACCCCAAATCCCAAACCGTAAGCCCACTGAGCGCTTAAGGCAGACTGGGAAGGACCAAGCGGCCAAAACACGCATGCAGCAGCACAGGAAGCAGCAGGAGCATCGGCTGCTGCTGCTTCTCCCTCAGCAGGTCGCTTGTATACGGAAGAGGGACACACGGAAGGCCACAGTGGGTGTGCACTACGGTTTAGGCCCAATGGTTTGGAATGAACGTAAAAGGCTCGTCGTGAGGGTTTTGGGCTCGTCGTAAGGGATTAGGTTTAAGGTAGAGGGCTCCCGCAGGAAAGCAGCAGCAGCAAACAAAACAGTTGCAAAGTAACAGTTCGGGGCTTTTGCTACGGTTTACGCAGAATCCCCATCTGTTTCAATGCCTCAAAACGGAAAAGATAAGTAAGAAATAAAGGTTTTTGGTCTACGCTTTGAACCATCAGGGTCTATGGATGAGGGTTTACGGTTCGGGGCTGAGAGGTTTGCTGCTGGAGCTGCTGCTGCTACAGGCTCTCTTATACAACCATGTACAACCATAGCAAATCTATCTCGACGTGTTGTCTGTCTACATGAAATTATAGATAATAAAATAAAGGCTCTGATAAGAAAGCACTTCCTTTAGGATTTTGCCTATGGGGTTTAAAACATAGTGCATAGGTTTCGGTTGAGGCAGTAGAAGATGGTAATCGTCCGTGAGGGTATAGGTTTAGGGTTTAACTGCATGAGGTTGTATGTCTCTAATTTGAAATCCCTGCCTTCTCTATATATAAACTCAATATACACATTCATAAGGGTTTATAATCCCCGATTTCACGTTTGGATCTGGAGGTTTGGGGCTTAGGTTGATGGTTTAAGGTTTAATGTGTAGTAGTGTTTAGGGTTTGGTGGTGGCTGCTCCACCCCGCTCCAACCCCACCCGCTTCCCGCGGGTGTTTGTCATTGTTCTTCTGCTACCCTTGCAACAAAGTTAATTCCTTCTTCTTCTGGTGTTTTTCTTTTCTTAAGGGTTGGGGGTTTAGGGTTTCGCGTGCAGCAGCATAGATTCCTGCTGGAGCAACGGCAGCAGCAGCAGCAGCAGCTGCAGCAGCAGCGGCGCAGCAGCAGCACGTCGGTGTCTCCTTCCCTTCACATCTGAAGGTAGACGTTTGATTTATTTCTTTGTTGTTACAACAGCGGCAGCAACAGCAATAGCATCAACAGCAGCAACAGCCCTCCGCCCACAGTCGACCACCAGAGGCAAGGGCAGCAGCAGCTGCAGCACCAGCCAACAGAGACACCGGCAGGCTCAGCATCCGCACTAGATCCTTATTGCATCTTCAGAAACAGCACCAGCTGCTGCAGTGACGGCATAACTGACCATATCCGCAATAGGAGCCGCAGCAGCAGCTGGAGGGGGAAGAAAATGGCAAGTTATATTGACGATGAGATTGATGGCTCCCTTGGGGGAGGCCAGACGGAGGGGAATATGATGGGGGCAACCTCCATAGACATGACTCAGGCAGCACCGAGGCGAGCAGCAGCAGCAGCAGCAGCAACGGGAACAGCAACAGAAGCGGAAATTGATTGGAAGGGAGAAGCACTAATGGAGCAGCAAATGGGTCACGAGAGCAACAGAGAAAAAACAGCAACTGTTAGAGCATTAACAGAGGCATTTCAACAAACATTAGCAGCAATACCCGTAAGCTGCCTCTTGATGCTGCTGCACCTGGTGCTGCTGTTGCACATGCTGTTGCTGTTGCTGCGACTGTATGTGTTGCTGCTGTTGTTACACATGCTGCTTTTACTGATACATGTGATGCTGCTGCTGCATATGGTGACACAGCTTCAGCGGCGCATGCTTCTGTTGCTGCTGCTGTTATTGTTGCTGCTGCGGGTACGGATGTTGCTGCTGCCGCGCCTGCTGTTGAGGCATCAATCTCTTTGCGTAATGGAACAGCCGTGCTCTGCGTTTGTCATCACATCAGCAGCAGCTGCTGGTGTTGCTATAGCTGCTGCTGTTGAGTGTTGATAGTTTCTGCGGCTGTTGCTGCTGTGTGTGTGTATGTGTTGTGCGTGCAGGGTTTATCACAACAGCTCGATTTGCTGCAACAGAATGCAGCAGCAATTTGTTTGGGGATGCCTGCAGGCGGGAAGAGTATAATTGGTGGCAGCAGCGGCAGGAGCAGCAACAACAGCACCTTGCAGCAGCGTTTAATATTGTCTATATCGGATATTATCTCCGTCTCCTCTTTTTCATTCTATTCACATCCTTTAATTAAACAGCCATGTGCTGCTTTGCCAGCCCTTGAAAATGCTGTTGCTGAGGAATGGAAAAACAGAGGCGCGCTGGTCAGTATACTCATCATGTTGCTGCTGTTGCTGTCGATGCTATTTCTGCTGATAGTGCTCTTTCTAGCGAAGGGGCGGTGGCTGGTAATACTGCTGCTCCTGCTGTTGCTGTTGCTCCTTTTGCTGCTGCTTTTCAGCACTCTGCAGCATCTGTTCAGGCTTTCTGCAATGGCGTGCTTACACATTCGACCTGTCCGTGTCTATCCGATATTTAATTTCTTTCTCTGCCTGCTGATTTCTTTGTTCCTCTCTTTTGTGCAATAAAGAAACAGAAACAGGCAGTTGCTCTAGAAACAGAAACAGGCAGTTACTTTATTGGTTTCTCTCTTTGTGTCTTTCTTTGTTTCTTTCTGTGTTTGCTTTTTTCTTGTTTCTTGTTCTGTTAATCCCTCTATTTATTTTATGTTTGTTTGTTTGCATATATGTGTTTCTTGGATGCATGTGTGTGTGGCTGTATGTGTACAGGGCCCAGCTCCGCGTGTGGGTGTAGGGGGGTGGTTAGGTGTTTGTCATTTAACCCCTCGAGGATTACGCAGCACACATTTAAATAAACTAGTGGCTTTAGAGGGTGTTGTGAATCGTTGTGCAAGTCCGCATCCGCGCATTCACCGAGCGGTGTATATTACAGAAGACGCCCTGCAGCACCAGCAGCAGCTGCTGCTCCTACAGCAGCAGCAAAACTCCACAGCACCACCCATTGAAGTAGAACGCGAAATACACCTCCGCAGCTTCTATGATGTCAGCGACCTCGACAAAGATATTCGAGATGCCCAACCTCCGCCCCAAAAAGGTCGGACACATCGGTTTAGGGTTTGGGGAGTAAAGTTTAGTGGCCTGGGGAACAGCTACCCTACGCACCGGCACGCGATGCAATGTTGCCAGGCGCGCACTTTTTCTCATCACGTTTTACGGTTTTGTGTCAAATACACAGGGTTTAGTGTTCACCGTTTGGGTTTTGGGGTTTATGCGCAGACCCTGAGGGCCGGAAGGTAAACCGTCAAGAGCTCGGTTATTGCCAATATCAAAATCATCAAAAGTTTTTTGTCCAAGAAGCCCCAGAAACAGCGCCCACAGGTATTTTGCTCCTCACGGTGCTGCCGTTGTTGTTGTTGCTGTTGTCTATGTTGTTTCCGTTGTTCCTTGTCGCTATTCCCTGCTGCTGTTGATGTCTGTGCTGTTGTCGTTCTTGTTGCTGCTGGTGTTGCTCCCTCTGCTCGGCGCCGCAGCAGCAGCAGCAACAGCTGCTACTGGTGTGGTTGCCACTGCTGCAGTTTGCTGGTTCCGCGTGTTTGGCTTTTCGTTTCTGCGCATTCGTGCTGCGACAGCACGCATCTACGGTGTTTGTTGATTTAATATATTGTGGTTGTTTAGGGTTTAAGGTTTAAGCTTTGTATTAGTTGATTTCCTATTCAGGACAGCTGCCTCGATGGGTAGAGGTGTTAGCAGCAGCAGACTTGTCTGAAAATGTTAAATGTGGCGACAGAGTTCGCGTCTTCGGCGTCTACAGGCCAAGAGCAGGTCCTGCTAATAACCAGACAAGTGGCTACGTTAGGCCACTTCTCATAGCCAACAACATAGAGGTCTGTTGCCTGCTGCTGCTGCTGCAGATGTTACTCTCTTGCTGCTCATGATGCTGGTGCTGATGATGTTCGTGCGCGGTGCTGCGACGGCGCCTTCGATCCGCTTGCTGCCGCTAGTGGCTGCTGTGCTGCTGCTACGAGCTGCATAGCTCCCTCCTCCGCGGCAATGTTGACATCTGCTGCTGTTGTTGCTGCTGCTGCAGGTGCTGAATGCAGCCGCTAGGGCATCGATGCTGCAGTCTTTGCCGGCGGACCTCATGAACATAAAGGCCTTCGCCAGCCGGAGAGACTTGTTCGAGGTTAATATCTAACCCCTGCCGCTGCAGTTGCTTATGGCCCCGTTGCTGTTGTTTCTTGCTGTCGTTTCTGTTGTTGCTGTTCTTGCTGTATTAGTTGTTCTGTTTGCTGCTAGTCTTGCTGCTGTCCGAGCTTGCCGGTGCGGTTGTTACTGTTCTCGCTTCTGGTATTGCTGGTGGCCTTGCTGTTGTTGCTGCTTCTGCTGTTGTTGCTGTTTCTGCTTTCTTCTTGCGTTTGTTTCTTTCGTTTGTTGTACAAGTTCTTTCTCTCCCCTTCTCAGGCATTGAGTGACGATTGCAGTTGCTGCTGCCGCAGGTGATGTCTCGCTCTATTGCTCCAGCAGTCTGCGGACACGACGTAGTGAAGCGAGGATTGCTGCTGCAGCTGTGCGGCGGCAGCAGCCTGGGCAGCAGCAGCAGCTCGCAGCACCGGGTTCGCGGAGACATTCACGTGCTGTTGCTTGGCGACCCATCTGCCGGCAAGTCGCAGCTGCTGCGCTTTGTTCTGCGGCTGCTGCCTGGCGCAGTGAGCACTACGGGGCGCGGCAGCAGCGGTGTGGGGTTGACAGCAGCAGTTGTATCAGATGCAGATACAGCAGAACGAAGAGTAGAAGCAGGAGCAATGGTTATGGGAGACAGAAGCATCGTCTGTATAGATGAATTCGATAAGATGCATGCGGGCGATAGAGCGGCAATCCACGAAGTCATGGAGCAGCAAACTGTCAGTGTAGCCAAAGCTGGTATTCATACAACTCTTAATGCAAGGTTCGTTCTTTCTTGCTTTTCTTCTTTTCTTCATTTGTGTTTTCGCCTTTTCTTTGTCACTGCCTGTTTTTATTCGCTTGTTTTTGCTCCCTCTGTTTGTCCTTTTTCTGCTTATGCCTGCGTATCGTTCATGCTGTCGTCTGCGTTTCTTATTTTCTCATTCGCTTGCTTCTTGTGTGTTTCTCCTTACTGTTTATGTGTTTTCTTATTGATTGATCGGTCTGCTAGTTTTATGATTATTATTTTTTTATCTCATTATTATTGCTGTCGGAGGGTTATAAAGGTCTTCTCGTCGTGGTGTCTTTCGCAAGTGTGTATATTGTGCGGCTCTCTTTCTTTAGTGTTTCCTTTTTTTTCTGTTGTGTTTCTTTGCTGCTTGTCTGCACCTTGTGTCTTTTCCATTTTCCTCCTTTGCGTTTTGTTTCCTTTTTGTCTTTTTCTTGATTTTATCTATTTACTTCGTTTGTCTCTGTTCTCTTCTTTTGTCTCATTCTTCTCACTCCTTCTACTCCACCGATTTCTCCTTCCTCTTCGTTTCTCCTTTTCGTTCAACGTTGTATATATATCCTTTCTTGATCCCTCCGACCTCTCAAATTCCGTTTCGTTCGGCTTTTGTGCTCCTTTGTTTTCTTCGTTAGGTGTTCCGTGCTGGCAGCCGCAAACCCTCTCTATGGTTGTTGGAGCCCTGACCTCCCATTTGCGTCTCAAATCGCTTTTGAGGACTCCCTTCTCAGCAGATTTGACCTCATCTTTATACTCAGGTGTGTATCCGCCTGCTGCTGATGCTATGCGGGTGCTGCTGCTTCTGTTGCTCTTGTTGTTGCTGTTGTTGCTGCTGTTCTGCTGTTGGTTCTGCTGTTGTTGCTATTCTCACGTTCCTGGGGTGGTTGTAGGTGAGTCTCCTGCTGCGTCCTTACGGGTCGCTGCGGTAGCTTTTGCTGGAGCCGGCTTCGTTTTTTAGCTGCTGTCTTCTGTTGCACACTGGCTCTCTCGTGGAGTGTGCAACTTACTACGCGCTTCGAATTTAGGGTTTAGGGTCAAGGATTTAGCGTTTGGAGTTCAGGGATGCAGCTTCATGTGAAGAAGATGAGCGTTTGGCGGAGGCAGTGCTGCGAAATGTCTCCGAGAAGGCAAAGCCCGCAGCAACCGCAACAACAGCAACAGCAGCAGCATCAGGAGCCGCGGGAGAGAGACGCATCCAAGGAGACTGCTTCATACAGCCCCAGAGCGACATGCACAAGCCTACACATGCAGCAGGAGCAGCAGATCTGCAGCAGCAGGAAGATGCGGAACCCACAAAAGCCTTCTATCACAGGAATGAAATGCTCTATTACGACAAACAAGGGTAAGCAAACAGTAGCAGGAGCTGCTGGTGCTTCTGCTGCAGCAACGAAACAATGCACCATATTGCAGGAGCGGTTGTAAAGGGGTTACCCTTCGTGGTTTGTACAGTTAAGCATTTCTGCAGCATGAGGGAACACCCGCGTTGGACCCTCAGGTTGTTTAGTGTTTAGTGTTTAGTGTTTAGGGGTTTGCTTTGTAGGCGGGAACACGAGTGTTTGACGCATGAGTTTTTGCATAAGTACATCGAGTTGGTACGCTGCGGCGGCTTGGCCGCTGTTGAGGACGGGGATCTGTTACAGCAGCAGCAGCAGCAGCAGCAGGGCCCCCGCCTCTCGGAGTCTGCTGCTGCAGCACTTGCGGATTTCTATACCACCATTAGGCAGCGGGCGCTGCAGCAAAGAGAAGAAGGATCAACAGCAAGCAATCTCCTCCAGCCAGTCACTGTACGTACACTCGAAGCCTCCGTCCGTCTCGCTGCCGCGCATGCAAAACTCCGACTCAGAAGATGGATTACAACAGTACGATGCTGCTGCATGCTGCTGCCAGTGCTAGAGGAATCACTCATGCCGGAGTTGCTCCGTTTATCGTGGTGCTGCTGTGGATGCTGCTCCTGCTGTTATCGGGCTTCTGTTGCTGGTGCTGCTTTGTCACTGCTGCTGCTGTTGCCGCTGATGTTTGGGGGTGTTGCAGCCGGTGTCTTGTAAGATGTTTGCTGATGCATGTGCATGCTTTTGTTGTTGCGGCTGTTACCGGTGGCGTCACTACTACTTTGGGTGCTGCTGTATCCCTTCTGCTACTGCTTCAGGAAGACGTCAACGTCGCTCAGCAGTTGCTGCTACATACTTTATTTGGTGAAGACACAGTTGATGATGAGGGGGAGGCAGACACGGAGACGGAATCAGAGGAGGAGGAGGAAGAAGATACGACTGCAAGAAGAAGAAAGCCAAGAAAACAAACAACAGACAGTCAGCACAAACGGTAAATACAGCGAAATGCAACAGTTTTTGAATCTCATACACAATTTTCGCTAAAGACTACGCATGCATGCAGTCTGTTTTTGTTTCTATTTTTCTTGTTGTCCTATTATGACTATCGGGTCGCTGCTGTTTTACTCCAGTGTTTCTTTGACTTCAGGGGTGCTTTGATTGTCCTTGTATTTAGCACCTCCCTGCACAGGTCCATGCATGCATTTTGCCCCCCACATATATTTCAATTTACGGTTTACAGCGGAATAAAGGCCTGTGCAAACAACTACGCAAAAAGCGTTTAATAATAAGTGCTGGCAAACTACGGGGAAATTAGATACCCAAGAAGAATCATTGCGGTAGACAGTGCAGCAGAGATCACCATAAACATACCAACATTGCATGCATCGCAGGAGCTAACAACCAACACCACGCTGTGTGTTGCTTTGCTGCAGACCGAGAAGGGGGAAGGGTCCCGCCAATGAAGGTAACAACCCGCTGCTGCTGCTACTGCTACTAGTGCTACTGCTGTTGTTGTTATTGTCCTTTCCTCTTTGACTGCCTGCCACTTTCTGGTGTAAGGCATTTCGGCTGTTGATTTTCAGAAGAGGAGATGGCGCTGGAGATGGAGAGCCTGGAGATAGGAGAAAAGAAGAAAAGGGGGACCAAGAGAGGTGCAGCGGCAGCAGCCGCGTCAGCAGAAGCTGGCGACCGTAACGAAGCGTTGCAGTCCCTCAACGCCCAAGGCCTCAGGTGTGCCGAACAGTCACCCAGACGGGTACTTAGCTAGCGGGGTTACTAGCGCGAGGGCTAGTAGCTCCCAGTCTACACGGGTTTCACCGTATTTGCCGCCACCAGTATTTCGCTCGATGTGCTGCTGCTGCTGCTACTCCTACGCATCGGTTGCTGCCGTTGTGTCTGCTTTTTGCGGTGCTGCTGCGGTCTGTTGTGCTGCTGAATTCATGGCGCTGCTGTGTTTAGCGAGGGTTGCTGTTGCTGCTGCACCTGTGTGCGTTAATTCTGCTGCTGCTCCTTCTGCTGCTATGCTTTGCTAAAGTTCTGATATTTTGCAGAGTTTAATTCTCCACTGCATAAAACAGCTCGACCAAGGGAGCGGCGTCAGTGAAGCAGCTCTTCTTGAGGCGGTGCGTTTTCTCTGTTCTGTTTCTTTATTTGGCTGCATTTACTCCTTTGTTTGTCTTTACTTGCCGGTTTAGCAACACGGCGTAACTTTGTTTGTCTCTTTTTCACATGACACTTATTAGGTTTGCTGTAGAAAGGGGAACAGTGTGCTGTTGGTTTGCTTCATTTCCTGTGTGTTTGCACGCTTGGTTTTTGTCTGCTTCTCTGTTTGTCTGTCTGTGCTGCAAGTACGTCCCTCCGTGTTGTTTTCTTTATGTGTGTTTGTTTGTGCCTCTCTTTGCCTGCTTGTCTGTTTATTTGCTTGTTAGCTTTTTGTGGATTTTGTTGTTCTCTGTCTGTACTTCTTGATTTGTGAACTTATTTTTAATATCTTCGTTAACCTGGTTCGTTATCCGTTTTGTAACTTCGTTTGCTGGCGGCGCTTGTTGCAAATTGCGTTTTAACTGTAGTTCTCTCTATGTTTTGTTGCACTGGTTGAATATAATACGTTTCGCCTGATTGCATGCGGAGCGCATTTCTTGCTTATTGTTCCCTATTGTTGTTGTATTTTGCTGCTGTTAATAATTTGTTGTACGGTGCGGTTATGTAGAATTCAACTGCATTCGCCGAATGTTACAATGAACTGCCCCCTAATTTATTGTTGTATTGCCCTACACAGGTTTCTGCCCGCGCGCTCTCTCGTGGGTTACTGCAACCGACGGCTGAAGAATTTCAAAAAACTCTCCACGAACTTAACTCGAAAGATTCTGCACCCATACTGTAAGGGTTTACGGTCTAGCAGGGTGTAGCAGGGCCCCCACGAAGTTGAAGGGCGCAACTTTTATTGAGTGTTTACAGCTTAGGGTTTGTGTATGTTTTCAGGGTGCACGATGGCCTCGTATATGAGTGCTGATGGTGTAGCGCACAGGCACTACAATGGGGCTTTCGTATGATCTCTAGTAGCTCACTAACCGTAAAGAGATGGAGTCTTAGGGTAGTAGGATTACCCCGCCAGCTACCACTACGGCAGTGCAGCGCAATACCTAGTCACTACTTGGGTAGAGATCTAATTGGATAGGAAATAGAATTATTACTATCTAGGAGTATTATGTCTATAAACAAGGCTTTCGTGGATAGCGGTTATAGGTCGGGCTCCTGACCGTGTCGCCACCGTTGATATCCCGCCTCAGTCATCCGATAGGTTGGGCGCTGGCACCCAGCCATGACCGAGGTTAATCCAGAACAGTTCTATTATTCTGGGAACTTCCCTTGTTTGTAATAGAGATTTGAACATGATTTGGAATTTTAAGTATTGACCTCTGGGAAATTCGGTAGTTAGAGGATGCAGTTAGGAAGCCAGACGCTGTGAGACGATACGTCGGCACAGCTTGGAACGCCTGCGCACTACAGATGGCGCCTGCCCAACATTCCCCTACACACCAAACAGCTAGCTAGCTGCCGCGCTAGCTAGCACCACAACTGCCCAAGTGTGAACATGTGGCCTTATGGCATTGGGCTAGCGGAAAAGGCGACACACTGCCCCTTCTTACACCAGACGCAGTCGCTGCATTCGTGTCTGAAGCCTCCACAAATCAGGCGAATCCTCTTTGGCACACTAAACTTCACGGGCAGTGCTCACGACTTCACAATGTGGTCCACTCCATAACATTTGCGTATACTACGACAG